AATAAATTATTTAATTAATCTCTTAAAAACTTAAATCTTAAATCCAAAAATTCAATAAAGGAAAAAAAACCAATATCATCAAAAAAATTCACAATATTGCAAAATAAACAATTTGTTTCAAATAATTATAAACTCATTTATAAATTAATAGACAAAAATTAAAACATTAATAGAAAGAGTGTCTAATTACAATATTGTGTTTTTGAATTTTTTTTTTTTAATTTCAAAGATTTGAGAGAAGGAAAACAATTGATATTACCAATGAGATTCTCAAACAAATTAAATAATGTTTTGCTAGCTCAAAGGAATGAATGAACCAAGAAAGATTAATTGATTTATTATAAATTTTAACAAAATATTTAGTAAATATTAAAATTTTCACAAATATAAATTAACAAACCAAACTAATCAAAATATGATAAATTATTGGATATAAAAATTTGATAAATTAAATAATTTATCGAATATGAAAATTTGATAAATTATCTAAATTATTGAATTTTTATATCTGATAAATTATTTAATTAATCTTTTAAAAACCTTAAATCTTAAACCCAAAAATTCAATAAAGGAAAAAAATTAATATCATAAAAAATTTTACAATATTGAAAAAAAATTTATTTCAAATAATTATAAACTCATTTACAAATTAATAGACAAAATTTATAACTTTAATAGAAAGAGTGCCTAATAACATATTGTAGTTTTTGAATTTTTTCTTGATTTCAAAGATTTGAGAGAAGGAAAACAATCAATATTTCTAATGAGATTCTTAAACTACTTAAATAATGTTTTTGTAGCTAAAGGAATGATGAACCAATGAAGGATTAATTGATTATTATAAATTTAGCAAAATATTAGTAAGTATTTAAAATTTTTCAACAAATATAAATTTATAAACTAAACTAATCAAAATTTGGTAAATAATCGGATATAAACATTCGATAAATTAAATAATTAATCGAATATGAAAATTTGATAAATTATATAAATTATCAAATTTTTATATCTAATAAATTATTTAATTAATCTCTTAAAAACTTAAATCTTAAACCCAAAAATTCAATAAAAGAAAAAAAATCTAACATCATATAAAAATTTCGCAATATTGAAAAATAAACAATTTATTTCAAATAATTATAAACTCATTTACAAATTAATAGACAACAATTATAACTTTAAAAGAAAGTGTGCCTAATTATAATATTGTGTTTTTGAGTTTTTTCTTAATTTCAAAGATCTGAGAGAAAAAAAACAATCGATATTTCTAATGAGATTCTTAAACTACTTAAATGATGTTTTGTTAACTCAAAGGAATGAATGAAACAAGAAGGATTAATTGATTTATTATAAATTTTTACAAAATAATTAGTAATTATTAAAATATTCACAAATACAAATTTATAAACCAAACTAATCAAAATCTGGTAAATTATTAGATATAAAAATTTGATAAATTGAATAATTTATCGAATATGTAAATATGATAAATTATATTGATTACCAAATTTTTATATCCGATAAATTATTTAGTTAACCTCTTCAAAACCTTAAATCTTAAACCCATAAATTCAATAAAGGAAAAAAATTAATATCATAAAAACTTCTCACAATATTAAAAAAAACAATTTATTTCAAATAATTATAAACTCATTTATAAATTAATAGACAAAAATTACAACTTTAATAGAAAAAGTGTCTAATTAAAGTATTGTGTTTCTGAATTTTTTCTTAATTTTAAAAATCTGAAAAATGGAAAACAATCGATATTCTTAATGAGATTCTTAACCTACTTAAATAATATTCTATTAGCTCAAAGAATGAACCAAGAAGGATTAATTGATTAATTATAAATTTTAACAAAATATTTAGTAAATATTAAAATTTTCACAAATATAAATTTATAAACTAAACTAATCAAAATCCGGTAAATTATCAGATATAAAAATTTGATAAATTAAATAATTTATCGAATATGAAAATATGATAAATTATAGAAATTATCAAATTTTATATCCAATAAATTATTTAATTATTCTCTTAAAAACCTTAAATCTTAAACCCAAAAATTCAATAAAGGAAAAAAATCTATATCATAAAAAATTTTCACTATATTGAAAAAAAAACAATTTATTTCAAATAATTATAAACTCATTTACAAATTAATAGAAAAAAATTATAACTTTAATAGAAAAAGTGCCTAATTACAATATTGTGTTTTTGAATTTTTTTCTTAATTTCAAAGATTTGAGAGAAGAAAAACAATTTATATTCCTAATAAGATTCTTAAACTACTTAAATAATATTCTGTTAGCTCAAAAGAATGAATGAACCTAGAAGAATTAATTGATTTATTATAAATTTTAACAAAATATTTAGTGAATATTAAAATTTTCACAAATATAAAATTTATAAACCAAACTAATCAAAATCTAGTAAATTATTGGACATAAAAATTTTGATAAATTAAATAATTTATCGAATATGAAAATATGATAAATTATATAAATTATTGAATTTTTTATTTGATAAATTATTTAATTAATTTCTTAAAACCCTTAAATCTTAAACCCAAAAATTCAATAAAGGAAAAGAATCTAATATCATAAAAAATTTTCACAATATTGAAAAAGAAACAATTTATTTCAAATAATTATAAACTCATTTACAAATTAACATACGAAAATTATAACTTTAAAAGAAATAGTACCTAATTATAGAATTATGTTTTTTATTTATTTTTTTAATTTCAAAGATTTGAGAGAAGGATAACAATCAATATTCCTAATGAGATTCTTAAACTACTTAAATAATGTTTTGTTAGCTTAAAGGAGTGAATGAACCAAGAAGTATTAATTGATTTATTATAATTTAACAAAATATTTAGAAAATATTAAAATTTTCACAAATATAAATTTATAATCCAAACTAATCAAAATCTGGTAAATTATTGGATAAAAAAATTTGATAAATTATTTAATATATCTAATAAATTATTTAATTATTCTCTTAAAAACTTAAATCTGAAACCCAAAAATTCAATAAAGGAAAAAAATCTAATATCATCAAAAAATTTCACAATATTGAAAAATAAACAGTTTATTTCAAATAATTATAAACTCATTTACAAATTATTACACAAAAATTATAACTTTAATAGAAAGAAAGTTTAATTACAATATTGTGTTTTTGAATTTTTTTCTTAATTTCAAAGATATGAGAGAAGAAAAACAATCAATATTCCTTATGAGATTCTTAAAATACTTAAATAATGTTCAGTGAGCTAAAAAGAATGAATGAACCAAGAAAGATTAATTGATCTATTATAAATTTTAACAAAATATTTAGTAATATAAAAATTTTCACAGATATAAATATATAAACAAAACTAATGAAAATCTGATAAATTATTAAATATAAAAATTTGATAAATTATATAAATTATTGAATTTTTTTATCCGATAAATTATTTAATTAATCTCTTAAAAACCTTAAAGCTTAAACACAAAAATTTAATAAAGGAAAAAAAAAACTTTAATATCATAAAAAAAATTTTGCAATATTGAAAAAAAAATAATTTATTTCAAATAATTATAAACTCGTTTATAAATTAATAGACAAAAATTATAACTTTAAAAGAAAGAGTGCTTAAATATAGTATTGTATTTTTGAATTTTTTCTTAATTTCAAAAATCTGAAAGAAGGAAAACAATCAATATTCCTAATGAGATTCTTAGACTACTTATATAATGTTCTATTAGCTCAAAAGAATGAATGAACCAAAAAGGATTAATTGATTTATTATAAATTTTAACAAAATATTTAGTAAATATTAAAATTTTCACAAATATAAATTTATAAACCAAACTAATCAAAATCAAACAATATATAAAAACAAATAAATAAGTTGAAAATTAAAAGAATAAAGATAGAAGATCAAGTACTATAAATTATAAAGGTTCGAACTTATCAATAATATTTATGTCTTTTCCCTTGACTTCACTTACTAAAAAACTTACGGCCAACATCTTCAAGGCTGAAATTATAATCACACAAAAACCCCATGAAGGTTTTCCCAACTCCTCACAAATCCACTCAATAATTGCTCTCTCCCTAAAGTTTACTCTCTCTCTCTCTCAAAAAAAAAAAGAATCTACAAATTAAAAACCTCTAAATTTGGATATTTGCTAATTGAAATACAAGTGGCTGATAGAAATAAAGAATTAAAGAAAATAAGTTCAAAAGTCTTAGCTAGCTCTTTAGTCTTTGAAGTAAACGAAGAATAGATGTAGTAACATGTCCTCTTTTAACTTCTATTCTTATTGGATGACTTGGAAGACCCTTTTATATAAAGAAGAATAAAATTTAACTGTTGTAATTAAATAATATTAACAATTTTTATATAATTTTTTTATCAAAGTATCTATTTAAAAATGAATTGATTGATTCCATACGAAAATGAATCGAACGGATTGGCTACAAATTTTCATTTGAGTTTTTAAATCTTGAAATTTTTTTTTTAAATTATGTAAAATTAAAAAAATTAAAAAAATAAAAAAATTTTTGATGTGAGATTTTTAGTATTTGATAATCACTTAAAATTTTAATAAATTTAGAATTAAATCCAATCAAATTTTATAAAAAAATTAAATTTTTTAAATTTTATTTTTATTTACAAAATTTTAAATTAAAATTTTACTTAAAAAAATCAAATTTCTTAACATCCATAAAACAAAAAGAATTACTATTTTAAAAAATTACACTCCTGCGTGGCCAATCCAAAAAAAATCACGTACGGTTTCTCGCTCTAACTTTTTATTGTGTTTTTCCCTCTCTAGAAAATTGGTACTGCTTTTTTGAGTTGGATCAGTACTTTTTATGGATCTTCGTGTAGACGGCACTTCCATCTCTAAGCGACTCAAACCAACCCAGGTTTTTCTCTATTTTTCTCCTTTTTTATTAAACAAAATTACTATTTTTTTAACTTCGCGATCTTTGTCGTTTTATTAACCGAGTTTTTGAGTGGATGGAATTTGGTTTTGTTGTTTTTTGATGAATGATCGTTTGATTTGATTGTCGGTTTTTGATCGGAATTCTGTGTTTTTTTTTTTTCTCACTGTCTCTTTTACTAAATTAGCTTCACATGCAATTCTTTGATTATTATTGTAAAGAATTAAGTCTCTGTTTGGTTGCTTGGAAAATTCTCTCCACGGGAAACTCGAAGTCTAACTGTTTGGTTCAGAGAAAGGTTGTTGGTAGAAAAAAAAAAAAGCACATAAGTATCACCGTAGGAATAAAAAGGGTTTCTACTTTTCTTTTGATTTCATTTCTAGTTTCTCTGTGGCCAAACAGAACCTTAGGTTAATTTTAGCTTATTCCGATTTGGCAAATTGTTCTTAATTTTGCTTATTATTCCGTTTTGCGAGTTTTCTCTCGTGCAAAGCTTCGTTGACTCCATGTATTGATTTCTACATGCCTGTATTATTTTTTTATTTAATTATTTTAATGTTGGGGATTTTTTTTTTTTTTTGAGAAGCGACTAAAAGGAGGGAAGGGGACTCTTGGTTCGAAGCCAGGACTTTATGCTATACTGGGCAGGTTTCAACCAGGCCGTGGGGTTGTTGGCGCTGGTTATTTTGAATACAACAGAATTAGAATTAGGACCATAGTCTTTAAAGAATAAGAAATCAGCCCATAATAGTTTTAAGTGAATCTTTTTGAAGCATTAGCGGTTTAGTGTATTGTAATTTAGTTTCTTTGAATTTATAGTTTTTTCTTGCCTTTTTAATACCAGAAAAGAGACTAATAAAGAAGCTATAGCTTGTTTGTGCCGTTTTGAAATTTTATACTTGTGCCTTAAGTGTAGCATGTCATAAACAGGTTTGTTGTTCATGTTTTAAATAAGCAGTTATAGCTTGTTTCTAGAACAGTCAAATATTTCTTGTGAATATTTGGTTTCATTGTGCATTGGAAGGAATATCTATGATTAATCGAATCTTAATATTATTCTGAAATGGTAATCCATTGGCATTTAGCCTTAATAATCATTTCACAGCTACATAGAGGTCTAATTGGAGCATCTCCTAAACTTCAATGCATACGTGAATAGAATAAGCTCATGTCAATCTTGTTTTTCCCACTTTTTTGATGTCATTGTCTTTGAAACCTTTGATATGTAGCTGTTAAGTTTGTACTTCAAAATTTTTGCTTGGACTCTATGCTGAGGAAACAATGTTGTTGTTCAGATTCTTCTTTGTGATGCAATGGATATCGAACAAGTTGAAGATCTGACAACGGTTTTGATTGATTCTGAGAAAACTGGCATGGACAGCAAGGGAAAGACCAACACTGAATTGCTATATCATGATGATGATGGGGATAGTGAAGACTATGCTGATTATGTTTCTGATTATGGTGACAATGATGATTTCCCATATGAAGATGATTGTTCGATTGTGCAATCTCATTTTGATAATGTGGATCTTCCTCCTGGGATAGAGGCTTCAATTCCTTGGTTGAAAGGCCCTGCTACTATTGGAAATGTGCCTCCAGCCCCGGGTGCCTCAAGTGCCCCTTGTCTGGATGAAAGCAAGAAGGAAACAACATTAAATTTGGCTGATGGTGGAGTGAAGTCAGCTTCTACCAGTACTTCAATGTTCCCAATACCGTCAGGGTCTTATCAGAAAGAAGAAGGAAATGAAGAACATGGAGTTATGCAAAAATTTCAAAGCTTCAAAAATTTTGGTGTTGTGGATGATTTCTCAGACCATCATTACAGCAATTTGACCTCAGCAGGAGAGAAGGTTAGGATGCATCTTGTTTCTCTGTCATGCTAAATTTGTCATTATTCATTCATATAATATGATTTTTTTTTCGTTTTTTATTGATAGCAACCAAAGGAGTGGGTGAAGCGAATTCAAGATGAGTGGAAAATTCTGGAGAACTTACCAGGTGAGTTCTGATTTATGAATTTGTTTTCTGAAATATGGTGCCCTTGGGATACTAACTGATAAGGAATTAACCATATCGGGGTTGTTTTTTTGGGTCCTGAAATTACTTTTAATCTTTTATCAAGCATTAACCACCATCATGACCAAAACTATGTGCATGTTCCTAGGCTGAATAACATTTTTAACAGTATTCATATCAAACTCTGTAGGAAAGCAGTGGTGATTTCTGACTTATTATTATTCCCTTCCCTTCAAAAAATGCATTGTATGATTACAAAATATGAAAATTACTACTTTTTGCTTCTTATCTTCTGGTATTATTTTGCTTAAATGACTTTTGTTTCCTCTCTCTGTTCATCCACAGAAATAATATACGTGAGAGTTTGTGAAGCAAGGATGGGTCTTTTAAGGGCTGTCATTATAGGACCTTCTGGTACTCCATATCATGATGGCCTTTTTGTCTTTGATTGTTTCTTTCCTCCGAAATATCCCTATGAGCCACCAGTACGTTCATTGTGCATATGTCTGTGTGTTTCCCAAAAGTGCCTATATTTGAGTATTATAAAGTACAAATTTATTTTAGTGTGTTTAACGGAGATTTGGAATTTCTTATCAGATGGTTTATTACTATTCCGGTGGCCTCAGATTAAATCCAAATTTATACAACTGTGGTAAAGTATGCCTAAGCCTTTTGGGCACCTGGCAAGGTCAACCAACTGAGAGATGGGTTCCAGGGCAATCGACCATGCTACAAGTTTTGGTTTCCTTACAAGCTTTGATTCTGAATGCTAGACCATTCTTTAATGAGCCTGGGTATGAAACTTTGTATGTTGGGGCTGAAGGTGACAGGGGGTCCAGGGAGTACAATGAGGAAGTATTTATTCTATCCTTGAAGACAATGATTTACACTCTTAGAAGACCACCAGAGGTATATTTGGTTATCTAGTTTATCAGTTATTCTTTTGTCTTTTCTTTTTATGAAGTTTCTTTTTCTAGTTAAGCTTCCCAAAAGTATGATTGCCACAAGAATCTGTTATCATGTTTATCTGGGATACCTTTCTCATTCCCTTTCATGGAGTTTGTATGCTGATGATAGATCTCTTTGTTTCATACATGCATTGACACAGTTTGACTACCCCCTCTTGTATATCTAATCTGTATTTCCATTTGCCAATGAGCACAAGTGACACAAATTAGTTGGCCTGTTGGCTATGGTTTCAGCTTTCTATCTGGCATGTTTGCTAAATATGATAGTTTTCTATCCTTTTTGTGCACATTACACTAAGGTTTTCTTTCTATGCGTTATTTATAAGAACAGATTCTTGCATGTAAATGGATATGGGAATTGATAGGGGACACAATGTTCTGTAAATTTTACATTTTTACATCCTGATGTAATCAGCAATGTTTCCTGTACAGCATTTTGAGGACTTTGTTGCTGGTCATTTTCGCAACCGTGCACGTGACATTATTGTGGCATGCAAAGCATATAGAGAGGGTGCTACAGTAGGGTCTGTTGTGGTTAAAGATGGTGTTCCAGACGCAAATAAAATGGAAAAGGGTAGCTCTGGGGAATTTAAAAGAAAATTACTAAAAATGATTAATGCAGTGATTAAGGAGTTTGTGAAAAACGGGTCAACAGACTGTGAGCAGTTTCAGTTTCAGACTTCCTGAAGCTGATACCATTTGGAGTTGGCTAGATGTAAAGCATAGGATGGGATTGTTAAGCCATTATGGAAGCCAGTGTATAGCGGTTTAGTTCGTCTTCCAAATGCTTTGAGATTTTATGTTTTATTTTATTTTATATAGGAGGTTACAGCCTGATGATAAGAGAAAAAATTACAGGTGTCAGGGATTTAAACTTTAAATCTGGTATATGTTATTTTTAAGAGTGATTGAATGAAGCAACTTTGGTTCTATTTTCGAGATTCTGTGTCGATTTAACTGTGTAGTGCAACGGGACGGAATGATTGAAAGAATTCATGCATGGATCATTTTCAAGTCCTGCCGTAATGATTTTGTTTTTTTCAGCCAACATTCTTGGGTAAATTGTTCGTTGATCACAGCATATGCATAGGTATTTCCACGCCTAATCCAGGGGCAGCATTCCTAGCCTCTTCAGGTAGAGGTGCTTCAAACTCTGCTTTCCATTCAGCTATGGACTTCTTGTTCTCTTTTCCTTCCATGGGAATGAATGAGAAAGTAACAGTGTAAGGAACGGTTCATAAATCTCCTTCAAATCCCCTCCGATGATCTGATGTGTCACCGACCCTTACCCACCTTTGCTCTATATTCTCCATTCATTCTTCTAAATAATTGCATCGATACAACGCTATGAGCTTCCAAAATTTAATTTGAATTAAATAAGTAGTTCTGCAAAAAATATTGTGCACTGAGGCAGCAAATAAAATAAATGTTACTTTCAGTGAGACAAACAAGCTTTTTCTATGGCTAATTGTTTTTGGTAATAAAATGTTTTTACAAACTTGTTTTTTATTATTAATATTATTTTCATTACTAAGTTACACCATAAAAGTAAACCTATCAAATATATTTGTATAATTCATTTTTGTTAGCATCACATTTGTCTTTCAACTATAGATGTACAAAAATTTATTATTTCCAAGATCAGCTTTGATACTTCCCACCATTAAATGTAGTATTAGCCTTGATAGGGTATTTCATTGCTTAATTCAAGTTTTGAAGGATTGTATGACGTTATTCTAAATGTTATGACTAAATCTGAAAACATCATGTCTCTTCGTAAACTATGAAATTAGGCAAGCTAACAATAGGAGTTAATAATATCAAAAACCAAGTTTTTGAGGCCACCATTTCCTTGTATGTACTAGTCAGCAGCCCCACACAGCATATCAGGGTTGATTTTGCTAATGATTTCATTGTTTCTGTACATTTCCAACTTCTTCTTTGATCCTCAATCTCTCTAGTTTGTTTGTTTTGAGCATGGGTAGACTTAGAAAATGAGAAACATTTTACCGATATTCATTCAGTCCAGGTGGTGGAGATTAGTTTAATAATAGGACAACGCAAGAAACCCCTCGTAATGGTCTTGCAATGTAGAATATGTTATATATTCAAAAACAACAGAAGAAGGTTTCAATTCAAATACTACAGCTAGGATCTTACAAATATAAGGTCATTGAACCTTTTAAATTATCAATCATATAATCACTATGACCAACTCTGGTTAAGGTACAAGCTGCTATCAATCTACCATCATCCTTTTCATTTTTGCTTGCTAGGCCAGTGCAATTGCACCAATCCTACATGAGACAATATATAACAAGGACTCGAAACCACATATAGGAGAACCTGAAAACTGAGTGTGGGAAAATTTGAAAGGAAAAAGGAAATTGGAAAGCAGATTTGGTTATACATTGATAAAATAACTTGAACACTTCAAACATGTAATGCATCTATGATTAAACAAGCTAAAATGAATATTGGTCCATAAACTGCAAGTTGAAAAACAAAAGGATTTATTGTTTAAAAGAAATCACCTACCGGACGACAAAATGAAGTCAAGTTAGGGACAGGAGGAGGCTAAGGAGTGGCTTTTATCCAGCTTAGCACTCAGCATGTGATGTAGAAGAAAATCAACTTTGTGACTATGATAAAAGAAAATCGAAATGCAACTGATGGTAACACCATGCAACTGGAGTCTGGAGTGTATGTCAATGATAACTCCTGGAAATATGGAGACGGCAAATACAAATCCAGCAAGTCTTCTTCAATCTTTTCCTGATCCAGCATCCTGCGAATGTGAAGAATAACAATCAGATTTGTCTCCTTTAGATGAGATATATTAACATTAACTAGTGAGATCTCTAATGTGTTGGATAGGTCATGAAGGACAACAATTGTTATTTAACAGTGAGATCAACTTGTCCCACTAAACCAATTGTTAAGTAGACACTCATATTAACCCAAACCTTGTGATGCTAAAAAAGGACTAGTCTAATACAAAATGCAATTGCTTCCTACAAAGGTAATCATGCAGTGGTGACAGTTTGCACAAACGGTAATCACCACCTTAAAGATATTGTTCCACCAAGTCCATAGTGGGGCTATAAGTAAAAAACTCTTATTAATAAGAGAGCTTTTATAAAAACCAAGAGTGGACAATCCAAACCTGAAAACTAATCAGGGAGACTCCAACTTTTGCAATAAATTTGTAGAATTATTGATTTAATAATGAGTGCATGAAATGAACCAAGCTTGTCATCTTCTTCACAATTCCTTGATGACTCAAGATCCATTTCAGCGAAGAATGCCTCCAAGACAAAAGCTACAACCTGAATTCACATTGAAAGAACTATAAGGTTCTTGCTTTTATACATGTCTTGAAAGTACCTCAGAAACATGAATTGTAGAAGCATTTTAATTAAGAAAAAAGGGAAACAAGCATAGCACAAATTTCACTAAAATCTCAAGTAAAAGATCCATTAAATACTACAAAGATATTTGTATATAATGAATGATCACCGAGCAACAAAACATACAAGGTTCTGGGTGGTTGTACAAAAACTTAGTATAATATCCATTATTAAGAAAAATTTAAGCATGACATAAACATATGCAAAGAAACATGCGAAGACAGCATAATGATAGATGCGGAAGGCATTTCCATATATGAAAGTAATTTGTGAAGTTTAAATATTCTGAGACTAACCAAATTTGAAAGTAACAAAACAGTAGGTAGGCAGAAGCTGATAAAATATACAAGGGTCCAAGAAGTTCCAGTTAATTCTTAGTAGCTCTATAACAGCAATATAGAAAAAGAAAAATCAATGCTCCCAAGAATGGGTATATCATTAGAGATGAGCAAGAAGAAAGAAAAGAAAAGAAAATACAAGAGCAAGCGAAATTCTATATAATTCAACTTGTACAAAAGAATGCTATACATGACCAAGCTAAAATCTGTCTTTACTTTTGACCAAAAAAAACTTCCATCCTTGATGTTATTGTTGGATGAAAATTTTGAAATATACTACATAGAATTTAAAGAACTGCAAAGAAAAGAGTATTCATGTCAGAAGCAACGATCTCCACCCCCCCCCCCCCCCCCCCAATCAAAGTCTAGACATTTATCCCTCACAAACATTCTCCTCTCTGGCAGAAAAAAAAATGGAAAAAAAGCAACAGCTTACTCTCAATTTTGCTCAGGTATACTCATTTACTTAATATCAATAAAAAGCATGTATTATATGGGTTTCCATACAATTATTTCCATTTATTAGAATTAGACTTTCTTTTGTAAGTGTAAAACTGCATATAGAACTTTTTTGGTGTAAGAATGGGTGCAAAAAGTTTTTATTGTACGGAAAATTAAAGAACAAATCTATGCGATCTAGCTTTGTATGTATCTATTTTTTAAGAATTTTCCACATTGGCGTGGACCACACGTATTGAATCTGTGCCTTGTTTTGTGTCAATAAGAACATAGCTTATCAATCAAACAGTATCCTAAGTTATAGCTGATATTTTTAATTATAAAAGAAGTGCACCTGTTTTCAAATACATGCTAGATACTTAGATGTTGACATACGTTAACCATTGAGTCACAAAAACTGCAATGCTGCACCAAGATCAGGTTCTAAAATTGCTACTATTTGAATAGGGTTAAGTTCAAATGACTTTTAAACTAACCCATTGCTAGCTCTTAGTAGAAAATATGCCCTTCCACCTCAAGCGAGTTAGAATAGAGGCCACAATCAGCAGTGAGAAATATTCAAAAACGAAAGGTTGATTCTATCCTAATCCACCATTGAAACAAAAGTCAAGATGACAAATAACAAGGATGTTCCTCTACAAGTCCTACACATTAGAAGTGTGTGAAGAAAACAACAAAATGAAGAAAGTCTTGACGCAAAAGTAATACCTGCAGTCACACCTGCCAATTTCCCATAACTAGCAAGTTAAAAAGTATCACCATTCCATTTGGATAATCATTAAAATTGAAAAGCAAAAAGCTAATTTTGTCATGGAAAGTCAGTGAATGTTAATACATTGTTTAAAACTTGTAATTGCAGTTAATAACTTAATATACCTGTGAAACAAAAATGCAAAAATTTCAAATCCTGTAAAAAGTCATGATTTTACTTTGAGGTACGTAACCAATGAATCTGAATTTGAATAAAATTACTAAAGCAGATAAGAAGGTTTTACACAAATGACAAGAAAGGTACTCATCATCAGTGAGATCTGTCCCTTCTAGATTGGGATTCCCAGTATCGACGATCCCACCAATGATCTAGACATAAAAATGGTGCTAATTTCATTAGTAACATAAGCAGAACAGTGATTAGACTAAGTAATAATCCAATATCAAATCTAGAGTTCCTAGGCAATTGAAACCATCTTCTTTAGGATAAAAAGTTCTTGACTAGTCCAGATTGTTAGATGAATGGAGGCAACTTTAATAGAATATCGCATGTCAAAAATCAAAGTAGGCAGGCAGATGAAGATAGAATTTACATAGCCAAAGTACCTGTACACCAAGTGAGCAATAGATGCATAGGACACGAAATATGGTTCCAAGATACGGCATTAAACTTAGTATGAAGGTTAAGAATGTGGCAACAAAAGCTCAGTAACTTCAGACATGCATCAGGAGTCTTATCAATCTTAGCATTCTGGCAAGAAGAAGGTAGCGAATCCTGTTGACAAGAATGGGAATAAATGGGAATATGTAAAGGCAAATATTAGAGGATAAAGACATCCAAATATAATCACATTCACTTGAATTCATTTATAATATAAGCAGAGAGCATATATTTAAGGGTAAAGAAGATTGGTGTGAGCAAAACTTAAAAATGATCCATAGAATGTACAAATTTTGAAATAAATTGTCCTTACCATTCCCGTTTGAAAAAAATTCGAACCCATCAGGAGTTGCAAAAGTT